ACTCTGGAAGTAATCTACAGAAATTGTTGAAATTCGACAGGCTTTTTCGTTTTACTAATTCAAAGATAGGTTGCCAGGCAACGAAATATACGCCCACAATGGCTAAATCGTCCGAGCCATCGACAAGGGTTGTCGCATATTTATTCCTTTGTAGGTAATTGGGGGCCTTTACAAGACAGTTTCATACAGATGAGATTATAAAATTTTGTCGTTTGAGGGTTTACAAGGTTCTACAAACTGAAACAAGGGTCTCAACTCTGGAAGTAATCTACAGAAATTGTTGAAATTTGACAGGCTTTTTCATTTTACTAATTTAAATAATGCATATAAATTTCATACAGGTCACATGATCACTTTTGTCATTGCAACCTTCACAATCGCCATAACTCTAGAAATTAGTGACGGAAATTGCTGAAATTCAATAGACCTGTTTCACAAATTTAAATGATGCATATAAATTTCATACATATCGGATGATAACTGTTGTCAATAGAGTGTTCACAAGATTCAACAAAGTGAAACAAGGGCAATAACTCTAGAAGTAATTATTGTAAATTGCTGAAATACTATAGGCTTTTTCGTTTCACTAATTTAAATGATGCATATAAATTTCATACATTTCGGATGATAACTGTTGTCATTAGAGTGTTCACAAGATTTAACAAAGTGAAACAAGGGCAATAACTCTAGAAGTAATTATTGTAAATTGCTGAAATACTATAGGCTTTTTCGTTTCACTAACTTAAATCATGCCTATAAATTTCACAAAGATCGGGTGGTAACTTTTGATGTTAGAGCGTTCACAAGGATCAATAAAGTGAAACAAGGGCCATAACTCTAGACGTAATAAACGGAAATTGCTGAAATTCAATAGGCTTCTTCGTCTCACTAATTTAAATAATGTATATAATTTTCAGAAAGATCGAATGATAACTTTTGACGTTAGAGCGTTCACAAGGACCAATAAAGTGAAACAAGGGCCATAACTCTAGACATAATAAACGGAAATTGCTGAAATTCAATAGGCTTCTTCGTTTCAATAATCTAAATAATGAATATAAATATCAGAAAGATTGGATGATAACTTTTGACGTTAGAGCGATCACAAGGACCAATAAAGTGAAACAAGGGCCATAACTCTAGACATAATAAACGGAAATTGCTGAAATTCAATAGGCTTCTTCGTTTCAATAATCTAAATAATGCATATAAATATCAGAAAGATCGGATGATAACTTTGGACTTTAGAGCGTTCACAAGGTTCAATAAAGTGAAACAAGGGCCATAACTCTAGATGTAGTAAACAGAAATTGCTAAAATTCAATAGGCTTCTTCGTTTCACTAATTTAAATAATGCATATTAATTTCAGAAAGATCGGATGATAACTTTTGGAGTTAGAGCGTTCACAAGGTTCAATAAAGTGAAACAAGGGCCATAACTCTAGACGTAATAAACAGAAATTATTGAAATTCAATAGGCTTCTTCGTTTCACTAATGTAAACAACATACATCAATTTTAAAACAATTGGATGATAACTTTTGGCGATAGAGCATTCACAAGAAATTGTGGACGATGGACGGACGGACGGGGGTGACGGCAATATACGTCCACATTTCAATGTGGGCGTATAAAAATGTAAATGACCAACATGTTCATTTATCTATAGCTCAGTTAACGTATCAAAATAACCAGCATATACTTTCTATATTTTTGGTTATGCAGTTAGAATCAATAATGTTTCAGCCATCATATTCTCCATTCCGTGTTCTGTTATTGTCACAATATTTCATAAACAATTTAATTTGCGTTTCAAAATAAACTCATACCATAGCTAATATTTTGACACAAATCCCTGCCATCCATATTACTACACATGGCCTGTGTCGCCAGTTCTGGTGTTGTTGGGCAAATTGTAGACGTTCACGTTGATGGTGAGGGGTGAGGATCGGTCCACGGTAAGGTCTACAGCAATGGATGTTCTCTCTGGTGAGACGTCGGCGTACTGTATTAGTACTGATGGGTCTTCCGTGTGTTTCCACTGTCTGACGTGCTGTCTCAAATGCCTGTATTCTGCACGTGCTGTCGCACAACATGACAGTCTTATCGTTTTGTCGTAACCCTTGGTCTACCAGTTCGGGGGCAATCATCCGTGGTGTTGATGGCCCGTAAGCATTCCTGAAGCCTGTAGATGGTCCGGACAATGACCTGGAAGTGATTGGCTACGGCTTGGGCAGTGTGACAGGGTCGAGTATTACAAGCACCTGGTTCCTCTGAGCTGTCGTGAGTCGTGGCATGCTGCTGACGTTGTAGTGTGAAGGATTCCATCAGGTATGGGGGTGCATTTTTTAAGGCTGGTCCCGGTGAACAGTACGTGCAGCATGAGTTACATGAAAATCATGGAGAACCCATTACCATCTCAGAAGTCAGGTTGCGTTTTTGAGAACATTTCCTGGGTTCAATTCTGTGTTTGGAAAGGAGCCTTATTGTTAAGGTAAAGTTGGAGATGTGGTCACAAATATACAATAAAAACATTTGGCAAGTTTTATGCAATGCATCTATTCAGAGTAACATACCAACCTGACGTTTCTTTTGCGGCTTAGTATAAATTAGCATTTTTACATGTGTAAATAGCCAATTTAACATGCGTTAGTAGGAAGTTAAATGCATAGAAGTAAGCACATTAGCATACGCATTACTAGGTTAGGAGTTAGAATTATGGGGGAAATTCCACTACATAAAGGTATTGATGTAATAATGAAACTAAAGGATATGTACATTATAGAACTTTGTCAAAGTATTGATCTAATGATATATGCCAGGTTTCACTATTCTCACTCAAATAGAATCAAAGTTATCGAGCTCCAAGGTCACAACTAATCAAATTGCTTAACCCAATCTGAAAATCCTCATTATCGAACTTAGTCAAGGTATTGATGTTATGAAACTATACACCAAGTTTCATCACTCTGACGAAGCAAAGTTATAGTGTTCCAGCAGAAGATCTCATCCTCGAACTCAGTCATGGTATTCACCTAATAAACATCCACACCAAGTTATTGTGTCCCAAAAAGTGTGATGGGGGACAAAATGTAAACATTTAAGAAACAAAGAGACGACTGACAGCTGGATGAACCACAGGTGGTATGACATATACCCTTGTGATTGCTGGCCTAACAAGCTAAAAGGATCGTTGGCCAGGCAATGAAACATACGCCCACAGCAGCTAAGTCATCCTGGGTGTCAACAAGGGTTGTCGCATATTTTTTTTTTTGTCAGGAATGAAAACATTTACAACACACTAAAATCTGATTACATGTAACAACCAATTTGGATTCTAGTTCAGCCCTATTCTAACATTTAGCATACAAAACATTAATATCAATTTCCATAATCATTGGAAATCATTGAAAATTGACAGGATTCTTAACACTGTGCATAAATTTCAAGTCAATCGAATATTAACTTTAGTCTCTAGAGCATCGGGAGCCACGGTGGCTAAGTGGTTAAGACGCTGGCTCACTAGCCTGGAGGTCGGGTGTTCGATCCCTGCATTGGCCAAGAAAGTTCATCTGGATTTTCCGACGTGGTTCCCCCTTGTCAGTGATGCAGGACGGAGGGCCTGACAAGGACAGCTGTCTAGTCCTTCGGATGAGACGAAAAACCGAGGTCCCGTGTATACATTGGAATGCACGTAAAAGATCCCTTGGCAGTTGGAATTCGATATAAGAGTAAGCGAAAGTACCGCTGCCCGGGCAAAATTTCCCTCATCGCACACTGTATGGCGTATGCCGCCTTTATTTGCTCAGTATAGGAGCAGAACAGTAGAACATTAAACCCCATTTCATTTATTCTCTAGAGCATCAACAAGATATTTCAAAGTTATGAAGGGCCATAACTCTGATAGTTATTATCAGAAATCATTGAAAATTAATGGGCTTCTCCGTCTGATGACCTTAAACAATGTGTATAAATGTAAAGTCAATCGGATGTTAACTTTAGCCTGTAGAGTGTCCACAAGATTTTTTAAAGTGATCAAGGGCCATAACTCTGGCGGTAATTATCGGAAATCACTGAAAATCAATAGGCTTCTTCGTCACAGTACTTTAAAGACTGTGTATAAATTTAAAGTCATTCTGATATAACTTTAGTCTCCAGAGCGTCCACAAGCAATTGTGGAACGGCTCGATGGACGGACTGAGGCGACGACATGTGGGCGTATAAACAGAAAGACAAATGAACTTCACCATTTCATGAACATACACAAGGAACTAGTGTCTACAAAGAACTTTGCATAGTGTATAACTCACATTCATTATATACCTAAAATATACTAATACAATGACATATATGTCAACTAATCTAGGACACAATTCAGTATTTATAATATTATATTGTTGAAATTGTTTACTAAGCTGAATTATATGTCTACCATGCAATTACTTCCAAATAATGTACATGTTTATATATCATAAGATGAGTTGTCATGCAACGATACACAGCAGCTAAGTCATCCAAGCTGTCCATGAAGATTGTCATGATATTTAATAATTTATAGGCAATGGGAGCATTTACATGACAATAACAAGGGCCATAACCCCAGTATTTATAGTAAATCATTGAAAATCGATACAATTCTTGGTCGCGTAAACTTAAACAATGTGTATAATCTGAGTCTCTAGATGTCCACAAGATTTCTCAAAGAGATCAAGGACCATAAGACAAACACTGTGTATTATGAATATCAAGTCAATCAGATAACTGTGGACAATGGACCATAACATACAACCACATTTTAATGTGGGCTATAAAAAGGGTTTTACCCATATAGTCTTTTATAAAATAATTGCAGTTTTTCTCCCCTTTATTTCATTTGATCTCCAGTAAGTCATATTGTTATTCTATTTCATGTACCCATAAAATTAATGTCTTTAATTTTAACGAGTTTTTAAAATGTTGTTTTGAATCAGGCTTTAAAGGGTAATTTGATTGACAACTTACTTTATAATCATCAGCAACATAGTCTTTACCTGGTACTTCTCTTTTAGAACTATAGCTGGCACTACCTAGTCATATAAATAATCCATTGCTTATTCATCTAGACAATTTACAGAAAAATGTGTGGTAATATGCCACTACACGTGTACATTTTCTAAAGTATTTTGACAGTAAATAGATAAATATTTATAATTGATTTATGTATGCATGTATAAATCACTGGCTTAAGTGGTGTTTGTATATTTATCACGAGCCGCGGTTGCTCGGTGAATAAGATTTATCATGGCTCGCTAACCTGGAGGTCCGGTTTCAAGCTCGGTGTTGACCAAGAAAATTCATCAGGATTTCCCGGCTTGGTTCCTCTGTTTCAGTGGTGCCGAACAGAGTCTCTGATATATATCACTTAAGAGTTCCTTTCAACTAATTTTTTCATATATGACAAGAGATCAAATTTAATTGGAACTTTAGGACAAGTACTACAGTAGTCCTGTCCCCATTAAATAATGCCTGTATATATACTCTTATAAAAAAGTAGGGGATATTGAAATGCAAATACCTATGCAGGTTGTGATATGATAAATAGTCATGGATACTTGACATGTTTTGAGAGTATGTTCACAGATGACGAACTTATCTCCCCATCAGAACCACTGAGCTCCAAATGCGGCACGAAATAGCGCTATACACGTGGGAGGGGTTGATGAAAACTGCAGCATGCTGGTTTATCCTATCCATGTTTGCTTTCCTATCGGTTCTTGCATAAGATTTACTGTTTAGCGTATCTTTGCTTTAGTGTGTTATGTCTAATTTGCAATGAGACGTCTTTAACATGATGAACGTTATGTCTAATTTGCAATGAGACGTCTTCAACATGATGAACGTCTACGTGGTATTGGCATGCTTCAAATGGGTTCTACACAGCGAGCAGTAGCCAACATGCTTAATGTGTCACAGTCTGTTATCAGCAGACTGTGGAACCGGTACCAACAAACACACAATGTTGATGATAGACCTGTTCAGGTCATCCTAGAGCCACTACACAAGTCCAGGATCGATACATTCTCCATGGGTCCTGCGAAATCGAAGACAAACGGCCAATCAGCTTTCTGTAAACTTTTACCAAGTTACAGGAATTCGAGTTACACCCCAAACGATTAGATATCGGCTACATGCAGCCCATTTGCATGCGCGACGACCGCGTGTTACGCCTCCATTAACTCGCCAGCACATGGCAAACAAGCGTCAATGGTGTAGGTAGCGTAGAAATTGGGGTAATCGTCGATGGGCGCTTGTAATGTTCTCAGATGAGTCCAGATTTACTCTGGATTTTACCGATAAGCGTGCTCAAGTTTGGAGGCATGTAAATGAGCATCATGCTAACGTTAACGTCAGACAACATGACAGATTCGGGCATAGGTCTGTTATGGTGTGGGAAGGAATCACCATGATTGGCAGAACAGACTTGCATATTGTTCAAGGAAGGGTCACTGGTGTGTACTACCGTGACCACATCCTGGCACCAATAGTTCTGCCATTTGCTCAGCGTGTAGATCGACGTTTCATCTTTCAAGATGATAATGCCCGTGCCCACCGCACCCGTGTCGTGAATGACTACCTCCAGCATCACATATTGTCCATATGCCGTGGCCAGCCATGTGTCCTAACCTTTCCCCTATTGAGCATGTCTGGGACATGATCGGGAGAATTTACCATGGCACTGCAAGAGGAGTGGGTCAGATTGCCCCAAATCATGATTGGACGGTTGATTAGGAGCATGCCACGACAAATTGTCGATTTTCACTTTTGACAGTGTGTCTCTTTGCGAGTGAAATTGGGCCATCAGATAAGCCGCATATATGAACTGTTTATGTGTAAGCAATTGGCCTGTTGTTAACATACACTGGTTACCTCTAATAAAAGCAGCATGAGCAGTGCATTTCCGCAGTTTTGTAGTGTTTCTGAACATCTCCTACTTTTTTGAAGAGTTATATTATATAGTCGAACATAATAACTAGTGCAAAGTGCACTACACTGTTTACCAGCAAGTTGATCTTCTTCTTAGTTAGTTGTATTTTACGTCCGCTTCCACCGAGGTGATATCGCAGACAAGTTGATAGCCTATATGCACTTTTATTCAGTGTACAGAGTATTTTATCTATCGACTGCTATATATATATCAACCCAATACTGTTATCTAACAAATGGGCTTTGCTAACACGTTATCATAATGTATAGCACGCTAAAATAAACAACTTACTACAATGTTTGTTTTTATTTTGCCATTTCGATATATTCTGTATAATTATTCTACGACTGATCATCTTCCTGGTTAAATCACTGCAACTACATAAAACGGACTTCTTCGATTCTAGAGGTTCTTTAGACTGGTTTAAACCGCCGTCAACAAATCTAGCTTTCAAAATCCAATATAACCGGGTGTACAGTGTGAGATGGTTCCTGGTCTGCGATTACCGTTTAGCGCATGCGCAGTTGTAGGGGTCAGCTCACACCGTTATGGACACGGTGTGCATTGACTCCCCTGATAGGTTTTCCCCTAAGATTTTCTTACGGTCAAATCGCTTTCTACACCATTGTATACCAATACTATTAGGAAAAGGTGTCGAGTTTCTATTGTTTGTTTATTTCGATAAAAAGTAGAAATACAAATTGACTAAGACGCGGATTCACCATGGATTCACCAATAAAGTGAGCCGTAGCAATTCGCGTTGATGGAAATTACTCGGCCGCGTGCAACGTCAGAGCGGTGTTTTCCCGCGAGCGTCCCCCATACATAAACGGTAATATCGCTAACATTTCGATAATTGTTTAGCCTGAATCTTGGCAGATATTGAGATTGATATTAAACTATTACAATACAATTGCTAGTAATACATTTAAATAAAATAGTAATTCAGAATCTCAGATTTCACGCTACTAAATTCACGTGACCTGAAACCCCTAATTTGATTAATAAAACAGATAGTTGTACAAATTATAATAAGTACAAAATTAAAATAACAATGATTCAAAGAAATCCCAAATCTGTTTCACAGAGTATTACGAAAATCTTCTAATATCTCTGTAAAAGATGACTGCCTTCAACAAATGACGTCATATCACGCGGCGTCAATGGCTCAATGGCGCGTGCATTGTTTACATAAAACGTTACAGATTCGAGCAGAATGGCGCCTTTTACTCATTTTAATACCCATTTACACTAAAATAGGAAATAATTTTTACCTACAAATACTTCAAACGTCTTTATTTATTTTTCTTATCCACAAAAAAAAATGTTTTAGAATTTAATTTGTGAGAGGAAAAAAGTTAATATTTGTGGCTCATTAAGTCGCATCGATGTCATCCTTATCAGTGATTGTCGCGGCCTGGCGAATATTCACTGCGGATCAGTGTGAGAAATCCCAATCATATAAAGGCCAATAATCAATCTGCAAAAGAGTTAATAATTAAAACATAGTTAAAACATCAAAAAGTGTAACGACTAATCACTAAAAAAGAATCAAAACAACGGCAGCAAATCACGACCGATAGGAGTATCAATTTCAAGCCAATCAACTAAGATCCGTTGATCGTGTAACTACTGATGACTAAAACAACAGCTAATCACGATAACAAGTATGTTCATTAATGACAAAACTCTAACCAAATACGTAATACTTTTTCCTGAACTGATCAGTGATCAGGAATCATCTCACACCGTCGGAAGTAGATATAGCTTCGTTGTTAACGCAAACAACAGTTCCGGACATGCGCAAGTGCCCAGAAGCAAACACACACCGGGAGTCAATTCAAACTGTCACACCGGCCTCGACCTTGCTTGTGCCCCAGCGTAAATATTTCCAGCTGATACCCATGATACTTGGTGTGTCGCCGCCTATTACTGTCTGAACCATCGTAAATTTTAAACGGATTTCTTCGATTGTAAAAAAACAATTAAATAATTGTTATTAAAAATTTGCCTATGTGTTTGAAACCGGCGGGAAGATTTACCCAATACCACCCGAATACCGCTCCAATATCACCACATACTACTCAATACTACAACATAATGGTGCCAAATGAGCATATTACTTGATTTTTTTTCAAAAATAGTGAGATATCGTGGGAAATATACTTCAAATGTGATTACCGATGTGTTCCGTTTGCCTCCCTATATCACCCAAATCAAGCAAATAATAACCCAATACTACCAAATACTTATCAAATACTTATCAAATACTACTTAATCTACCCAATATTATAAAATACAAACCTAATATCGTCAATTACCAACACACCAGTATAATAATTGCAACGAATATTCGATAATTTACAGAAAATTGAAATATTTAGGCTACGCAGTTAATCTTCCTTTACAACCGACAAATAGATTTTAGATTGCTACTCAGGGCCCTTATTCACGAAAACTTAAACTAAGTTACAACCGAAATTTTAAGAAATACTGCAACTTCATTGGATATATGCAAATTGTTTTTTTACTGGTCAGCCAATCGAATTGCAGTATTTCTTAAAATTTCGATTGTATATTAGTTTAAGTTTTCGTGAATAAGGGCCCAGATAAATCATCTTGTTGGGTTTTGCAGTTTGTTTCCAAGACAAAAAAGAGATTTAAAAGAAGTTAACAAAGATCTAAAAATGCATCAAAATAAAATCAGTTTATAAAATAAACTGCCAAGCATCGAAATAAAAGAGTATTTTGGAGGTTCATTTAACGGTCTCGTGGCCTACTCAGAAGTCTTCTTATACTATAATTATTTCTTCATCCTGGTGATTTTAGTATGATAACATGCTGTCTACAAGTGCACGTGGTCCTGTAAAAATCATTTGGGTATAATATGTCAGGAAAGTAGTACGGAGCCCCTTAAGCGCAATTTTCGATACTTTTTTTAATTATTTCGTTTAAACGAAATAATTAATTCGTTTAAACGAAATAATATCATGTATTTCGTTTAAACGAATTAATTATTTCGTTTAAACGAATTATTATTTCATTTAAACGAATTAATTATTTCGTTATTCGTTTAAACGAAATAATTCATATAAATAGACGTGTGTATGTACCAATTCCAACTAGTTGTATAGTCACAATAGCTGACCGTAGACCCATTCAACAATTACGTAACGCTATTTTTGCCATTTTTGACACCCACCCACCCCTGTAAAACATCTCGACCACTTGGCCATACTAGGGATCTTTACCATGAGCGACAAGCATCCTGAACACTCTGTCACACCAAGACCTCCACCATGAGCAGCAAGCGTCCTAACCACTCAGTCATATGTGGTTTCTACCACCACTCGGACACCCCCCCCCCACTCGGCCACATAGGGACTTACACTACTTTGCCACACTGGACCCTCATTTCACTCGTCCACACCGAGCCCCCATCATGAGAAAAAAGCGTCCTAACCAGAACATACCACAACGTTTCAATGCAATTCATAACGACACAGGCGGTCACGTTTAAACGAAATAATTCATATAAATAGACGTGTGTATGTACCAATTCCAACTAGTTGTATAGTCACAATAGCTGACCGTAGACCCATTCAACAATTACGTAACGCTATTTTTGCCATTTTTGACACTCACCCACCCCTGTAAAACATCTCGACCACTTGGCCATACTAGGGATCTTTACCATGAGCGACAAGCATCCTAAACACTCTGTCACACCAAGGCCTCCACCATGAGCAGCAAGCGTCCTAACCACTCAGTCATATCGGGTTTCTACCACCACTCGGACACCCCCCCCCCCCACTCGGCCACATAGGGACTTACACTACTTTGCCACACCGGACCCTCATTTCACTCGTCCACACCGAGCCCCCATCATGAGAAAAAAGCGTCCTAACCAGAACATATCACAACGTTTCAATGCAATTCATAACGACACAGGCGGTGGTGTCAACAATGGCAACGTTTTGTCATCGTTTAGCAGTTTACATGGACCTCCCAGAACCCGAAAGAATATCAGCCAAATTGGCCGCCAGTCACTATCAGCAGACGGCAGGTACTTGGTGACAAAGGGGGGTACTCTACTGTTATGTAACGGGAGGGGGAGGGGGCTAGGGGGTCATTCCAGTGGCGACATACATGCATGCCTTACATGGGGTGGGTGGGTGTCAAAAGGTTGGCTTTTATTACATGTAATGTAGTCTACGTCCAGCCATTGTGACTATACAACTAGTTGGAATTGGTGTATACAAGTTGTGGTATGTTCTGGTTATGACGCCTGTCCCTCATGATGGGGGCTCGGTGTGGACGATGGAATGAGAGTCCGGTGTGGCCGAGTAGAGTAAGTCCCTGTGTGGCCGAGTGGGAAGGGGGTGTCCGAGTGGGGGTAGGAACCCGATATTACCGAGTGGTTAGGACGCTTGCTGCTCATGGTGTGACAGAGTTTTTAGGATTCTTGTCGCTCATGGTGAAGATCCCTAGTATGGCCGAGTGGTCGAGATGTTTTACAGGGGTGGGTGGGTGGCAAAAATGGCAAAAAAAGCGTTACGTAATTGTTGAATGGTCTACGGTCAGCTATTGTAACTATACAACTAGTTGGAATTGGTACATACACACGTCTATTTATATGAATTATTTCGTTTAAACGAATTAATTATTTCGTTTAAACGAATTAATTATTTCGTTTGAACGAATTAATTATTTCGTTTAAACGAATTAATTATTTCGTTTAAACGAATTAATTATTTCGTTTAAACGAATTAATAAACGAAATAATAATTCGTTTAAACGAAATAATTAATTCGTTTAAACGAAATAATAATTCGTTTAAACGAAATAATTAAAAAAAAGTATCGAAAATTGCGCTTAAGGGGCTCCGTAGGAAAGCAAACGAATTTATCTTTATATCTGTCTTTTAATGACTTATTAAAGCGTCTTCTTTGTCTTTTAAATGATTCCGGTTCCAAACCAGTCGCCTTTGAAAAAAAAAAAAACCTTGTCAAAATTTCACCGATTCTTCGAATATCGTCACTATTGAACAAATTCTAAGTATTCTACGGTATATACCCACAGGCAGCGATGTCGCAGCGATGTCATTACCACCTAAATCAGTGATTCTCAACCAGTGTGCCGCGGCATACAGGTGTGCCGCCAGATCATCATAAGTGTGTCGCGAAATTTTGAACGGCACACCAAGAAAGCGTGAAAAACCACGTGATCCCAATTGAGTATTCATTGTTGTCTACTGATAAGTTCATAGCTGTGTTTTTCTTTATTTAGTTTGAGTCATTCTATGTGTCTATGACTAGTCTCTGTCTACGGCTGTATTCCGTCTGACTTAACATGTTTTTATTTTGCAAAATTCAAATATTTTTCATATATGTTTAGCCAGGTGTGCCGCTATTTTTCCATGTGTTCCAAGGTGTGTTGGCAAAAAAGGTTGATATTGATAACCACTGACCTAAATGAATAGACACGGTCACCAGTTTCCTCCCACATA